CTCTCTATTAAATTTAAAACCTAGGTTTGGAGGGTATGTCAATCTGGATTGGAAGTTGTTTGTTTTCAGGAACTGAAATAACTCACTCCAAGCTCTTTTCAACAACATTTGTGTCTGTAAATGTGCTGTTACTCTGAAGGGCTTTCTTTCTAGGTGATGTGATTCTTTACCAGTTTTTAATATTCTGTTCTTTGGCTGAATCTAGGATTTTGATTATATATTTGGATGTAGAGTTATTTTAGTTATGGCTAACTGGAATTTATATGCCTCAATTATGTGTATGTCAGATACGTTTCCCATGATTGGAAAATTTTCTGCTACTACTCCTGCAAGCAGTGTTTCTATGTCATTTTTGTAGACTCCTACTGTTTCCTTGACACATATCAGTCTTGTATTTATTTTCTTAACATCATCTTGCAGCTGTTGAATTGTTATTTCCTGGTTCTTTGTTAATTTCAAGAAATCTTTCCTTTCACTATCACTAGTTGCAATGCTGTCTTTCAGGTCTGAAAGTCTATCGTCAGTTTCATTCAAGCAGTTTTGTCAACTTTCAATGCAATTCTTAATTTCTTGATGATTATTTGAATCATTCACGTATTCTAATTCTTTCCTGTATTGTCCATTCAATATATCCATCATTTTTCTGTGCTCCTCCATTATGTTAGCTCTCTTTTTTAGATGTGCTGAGCAATTCTTTCATGACTACCTTCACTTCTTTTTTAACTGAGAGATTTTTTGTGATCTCATTTCTTCTATAGCTTGATGGAATTTTTTGTGTACTTCAATTGCTATCATTTCAGAAATGTCTGGTGTGTGACTCCTAAGTTCTTCCATTTGCCCTTGTCTCCTGAACTTGCTCTGGGTGGGCTCAAAGTCTGAGACTGCCTTTTTTCCCCCTTTATTTGAGCATTTTCCAAGCAAGCAAAGTTCACCAAGGCTCAATGCTGCTCTGTAATTGGGGGTAGGTGGGATACAGTTCAGGCCAGGTCCTGTGATGGTTGGGGGGTGTGGTCACCAAGGGTCCTAAAGCTCTCAAGGGCTCATCCTGGCTTCTGCAATGGGGCATGTAGGGGTAGGCCACACCTTAGCATAGCTCCTGCGAACAGAATATCAGTTTTATTTTTAATCTTTTATTTATTCGTTTGTTTGGCACAGGGTTTCACTATGCAGCTCAGACTTGTAGTGATCCTCTTATTTCAGCCTTCCCAGTGTTGGGATTACAGGTATGTGCCACCATACCTGGCTTTGGTGGCCAACACGGTGCACCTGGGACTCTGGGGCCAGCACAGCATGTGATACTGGGGATTGAACACGGGCCTTGTGCTCACGAGGCAGGCACTTAGACTACCAAGCTATTTTCCAAGCCTGTGTATTTTTTTTTAAATCACATCATATGTATTTAAATAGAACATCAACCATTCAATGATGACTATTTAACACATACCTTCACAAGTTTCTTCCAGCCTCTAGTTTTTACACACAAACAAAAAACCTTGCAAAACTAAACTGAGGAGAAAATGGTATTATAATTATCTCTCACTGTAATACAAGTTTTGGATCTTGTTTTTCTCCTCTGAGAAAAGCTTTACAACTGGGAAATTTCCATGGATTTTAACCTGCTATACTTCTAGAAATATTAAAACAGAATACCTACAGCCCACAAATTTGGAAAAAATCATGACAAGTAAGTACTCAGACAAAGGTCTGCTCTCTAGAATTTATAAACAACTAAAAAACACTAAGGCCCCAAAATTTAAAGACCCAATCCAGAAATGGGCATCTGAGATGAACACACATTTCTCAGAGGATGAAATTAAAGAAGTGAATAAATATATGAAAAAAATGCTCCACATCACTAGCCATCCACGAAATGCAAATTAAAACCACATTGAGATATCACCTCACCCCAGAAAGAATGGCTCTCATAAAGAAATCACCCAACAACAAATGTTGGAGAGGCTGTGGGGAAAAAGGAACCCTTCTCCACTGCTGGTGGGAATGTAGACTGATGCAA